TTTTTATATTTTTAATAGAGACAGGGTTTCATCATGTTGACCAGGCTGGTCTCGAACTCCTGACCTCAGGTGATCTGCCTGCCTCAGCCTCCCAAAGTGCTGGGATTACAGGTGTGAGCCACCAAACCTGGCCCACAAGGAAATTTTAGAATTAAAAAATACAACCAAAATGAAAAACTCAATGGATTCAATGCCAGAATAGAGAATGATAGAGGAAAGCATCAGTGAACTTGAAGATAGAACAATAGAACTTACCCAATCTGAACAACAGAGAGAAAATAGACTTAAAAGAAAATAGATAGAATCTCAGGGACCTATGGGATTATAACAAAAGATCTAACACTCCTGTCATGGAGAGATAGGAGAGGGGAGATGGGCTTAAAAAGTACTTGAAGAAATAGTGGCTGAAAACTGTTCTAATTTAGTGAAAGATGTAAAGCTACAGATTAAAGAAACAAAGTGAGCCCCAAACAGGATAAAGCCAAAGAAATCCATATCAGGACACATGATAATCAAACTTCTGAAAGTTAAAGACAAACATAGAATTGAGAAAGAGATGACAATATCTTATGTATAAGAGAAAAACAGGATCTCTCATCAGATACTACAAAGGCCAGAAAGAAGTGGCACATTTTTCAAGCGATGAAAGAAAAGAACTGTCAAACCAAAATTCAATATCCAGCAAAAGTATCCTTCAGAAATGGAGGGGAGATCGAGACATTCTCAGATGAAGGAACACTTAGAGAATCTGTCACCAACATAACTACTCTAAAAGAATGGCTAAAGGAAGTTCTTAAAATGTAAAGGAAATGATAAAAGAAGGAATCTTGAACTATCAGAAAGGAAGAAAAAACAACTGAAAGAAGGAAAATATGGGTAAATGCCATAGACTTTAATGCTTCTGGAGTTTTTTATAAATGGTGATTGGATAACATTGTCTAAAGTGGTTCTGAAATATATAGAGGAAGTACTTAAGATAATTATAAATGGGGGAGGATAAAGGGACTTAACAGTAGGTAAGATTTCTACACTTCACTCAAACTGGCAAAATGTCAATACCAGTAGACTGTGATAAGCTATGTATGTATAGAATAAGAAACACTTTATCCACAAGAGCACAGGAAAAACAAAACAGAAATGAACCAGGTGTAGTGGCTCAAGCCTGTAATCATAGCTGCTTGGGAGGCTAAGTTGGAAAGATTGAGGCCAGGAGTTTGAGACCATTATGGGCAACATAGCAAGACCCCATCTCTAAAAACAAGAAGAAAGATAAAGCAAAGAGAAATGAAGAACAGAGGCAACAAAAAGAAAACAAAAAATTAAGTGACAGTCTTAGGCCCTAACATACCAATAATTACATTAAATGTAAATGTTAATTAAATGTAAATGTAAATTACAGACTCATACCTGTAATGCCAATAATTACATTAAATGTAAATGGTCTAAATATGTCAACTAAGACAAAGATTGGTAGCATGGACTTTAAAAAAATGACCCAATTATATGCTGTCTAAACTCACTTAAATACAACTATATAGGTAGCTTGAAAGTAAAAGGATAGAAAAAGGTTTATTTTGCAAAGATTAATCAAAAGAAAACATAAATGGCTATATTAATATCAAAGTAGGCCGGGCGCGGTGGCTCAAGCCTGTAATCCCAGCACTCTGGGAGGCCGAGACGGGTGGATCACGAGGTCAGGAGATCGAGACCATCCTTGGTGAACACAGTGAAAACCCCGTCTCTATTAAAACTACAAAACTAGCCGGGCGAGGTGGCGCGGCGCCTGTAGTCCAAGACTCGGAGGCTGGAGCAGGAGAATGGCGTGAACCCGGGAGGCGGAGCTTGCAGTGAGCTGAGATCCGGCCACTGCACTCCAGCCTGGGCGACAGACAAGACTCCGTCTGCAAAAAAAAAAAAAAAAAAAATCAAAGTAACTCTCCATGCAAAAAGTTTACTAAGGAACAGAGTGAAGGCCGCGCGTGGGGCTCAAGCCTGTAATCCCGCACTTTGGGAGGCCGAGACGGGCGGATCACGAGGTTCAGGAGATCGAGACCAACCTGGCTAACATGGTGAAACCCCGTCTCTACTAAGAAATACAAAAAACTAGGCCGGGCGAGTGCGGCGGCCTGTAGTCCCAGCTACTGCGGGAGGCTGAGGCCGGAGAATGGCGTGAACCGGGAGGCGGAGCTTGCAGTGAGGCTGAGATCCGGCCACTGCACTCCGGCCTGGGCTACAGAGCGAGATCCGTCTCAAAAAAAAAAAAAAAAAAAAAAGAACAGAGTGACATTTACATAATAATAAAAGTATCAAGTCACCAAGGCATCACAGTTTTTAATGTTTATGCCCAAAGAACAGAGCTCTCAGAATATGTTGAGGCAAAAACTAATGGAACTGAAAGGAGAAATAGACAAATCCACAATTACAATTGAAGCCTTCAACACCTTTTCTCTAACAATTGTTAACTATTAGACAAAATCAGCAGGCATATAGGGCCGGCACACAGTGGCTCTCACTTGTAATCCGCAGCAACTTTGGAGGCATGACGTAGGCAGGAGGCACTTTGAAGTCAGGGGTCTCAAGGACCAGCCTGGTCAACATTGGGTGAAAACTGCATCTCTTACTAAAAAAATACAAGGCTGGGCTGGGCGCGGTGGCTCAAGCCTGTAATCCCAGCCATTTGGGAGGCTGAGCTAACGGAGTGGATCACAAGGTCAGGTAGATCAAGACGCATCCTGGCGTAACGCGGAGGCAGGAGAATGGCATAAGACCTGGGAGGCGGAGCTGCAGTGAGCTGAGATGTTGGGCCCATTGCACTCCCAGCCGGGTGACACAGCAACGAGAGCTCCGTCTCAAAAAGAAAAAAAAAAGTACATAGGAACAAAGAAATGAAATGTATAAATTCATGGTCCAACTTAATTACAAGGAGTACCTTTCTATTTAAAGGAGAAAAATAATTTATTTTATTTTATTTATTCATTTAGTAAGAAATGGGGTTTTGCCATGTTGGCCAGGCTGGTCTCCAAACGCCTGATCTCAAGGCAATCCACCACCTCAGCCTCCCAAAAGTGCTGGGATTACAGGTGTGAGCACCACATCCTGCGCAGAAAAAATAATTTTTGAAAATCATAATTTGCTGCTGGATTTTTTTTTTTTTTTTTTTTTGAGATGGAGTCTCACTCTATCACCCAGGCTGGAGTGCAGTGACACGATCCCGGCTCATTGCAACCTCCACCTCCTGGGTTCAAGCGATTCTCCTGCCTCAGCCTCCAGAGTAGCAGGATCCGGCCACCAATCCTGGCTAATTTTTGTATTTTTAGTAGAGATGGGATATTGTCATGTTGGCCAGACTGGTCTCGAACTCCTGACCTCAAGTGATCTGCCCGCCTTGGCCTCCCAAAGTGCTGGGATTACAGGTGTCAGTCACCACGCTCAGCCAGAAAAATAAATGATTTAAAAATCATGATTTGCTTCTGAATTGAGTATTGTTTTAAGAACTTTTTGATGATTCCAGTTGGTACTGCTGGTCTCGCGCAGTTTCTTAGAATAGTCGATGGACACAAGTTACGTTAAAATCTCTATTAAGCCAGGTGCAGTGGCACACTCTTGTAATCCCAGCACTCTGGGGCACCAAGGTGAGTGGATCACTTGAGCTCAGGAGTTCTAGACAAGCCTGGGCAGAATGGTGAAACCCCAGTCTCTAGCACACACACAAAAAAAGTTAGCCAGGCATGGTAGTGTGCACCTGTCATCCCAGCTATTCGGGAGGCTTAGGTGGGAGGATCACTTGAACTCAGGAGGTTGAGGTTGCAGTGATCTTAGATCGCACTACTGCACTCCAGCCTGGGTGACAGAATGAGAACCTATCAAAAAAAAAAAAAAAAAAGGAAATCTCTATTAAAAAATTAGCAATTTTACTGAAAGAGGCATGAAAAATACATTATGGAATAAATATATAATTTATGAAGTATGCATCTTTGTCCAAACATTGTTTTACTACTTTGTGCAAACATCACTGATCCATGAAGAGAATACCTAGACATGTGCAAGAGTAATAAAATTCCGTCAGCTCTGATATTTTGCCAACTTTCAGTCATATAAAAAGCGTAGCTGTATGTGTGTCTTTCATTTTCGTAATTCTGAACCTTTATTTGTGAAAATAAGAGGGGAACATATTTAACAAATTGTAATTTGATTTGTATCTTTTAAATATTTAGACACACAGTATGTCGATTTCCATTTCTTCTTTTGCGCTGGGCCCAACAAATGTTGGGGTGGGCCTGGTCCTAACCTGCTCGACCCTCAGAACCTCAGCTTCCTTTTCCGGAAAAAGAGAACACTCCTGAACTCACCGAACTGGGATGAACCCGGCACCTGGTGCATAACGGGTTCTGAGTAAATACGGCTAAGTTCCCTCACTCTCCTAAGGAGGAATCCATGTTCAAGGAGTGTTTAAGGGGTTTTTATTTTATTCTTTCTTTCTTTTTAAGGCTGCAAGGGAGACGAACGTGTTTGAGGCTCAGGGGTAAGAAAGTGGTTAAAGACACCAAAGACAGAGATGTGTGATGGGGCGGGGTGGGATTGGCTCCGAGGGACTGGCTTGATAGTGGGAATGGAGAAGAGGAATCCCCATCCACCCCCGCAGGAAACGCTCCAGCCTTTGGAGGTGTGTGTGCTTGCGTGTGCCTGTGTATGCCAGTGTGTGCAGTGGGGATTAGCTCCAACTCTGGCAGACACCATCACGCATGACGAAGCTGCTTCCCCTCACGCGGCCCAAGGCGCACACGCGCGATCCACGGCCACGCCCGCACACACTCGACACACACAGGGCATTCGAGGGTCCGGTTGCCATGGCAAGCAGGAGCGCGTGAGCCCAGCCGCCCCTCCCGCCCCCGGCGAGCCCAGTCAACTCCCACTCTGATTGGCCGTGCTTCCTTATTATGCAAATCATTTGCGTAGACTCGGCGGCCAGCTGTCTGACGTCACCAAGCACGGGGGCTGGGGCTCGGGGCTCGGCTCCGGGAGAGCTCGGGCGGGAGCCCAGAGAGAGCCGCACGGGGACCTCAAGCCAGACCCCAGCGTCCCGCCGCCACCTCGGCCCGGGCCCGCCCCGCCCCGGCCCCGCCCCTTTCCAGCCCGCCCCACCCCCTCTACGCCCCTCCACCCGGACCCCGCCCCCTGGGCAGCCCCCCCGCCCTCTCCGCCCGGGCCCCGCCCCCTCCCCCTGGCCCTCGCCACCGGTCCAGGGAGGGGACGGCGGGACAGGCGGGACCGGTGGGACCAGCGGGAGGGCGGACAGGGCGGGGACATGGCCGCGGCGCCGGGAGGGTCAGCGCAGCCCGCTGGCCCCGGCCCGCGCCTGGGTTTCAGCACCGCGGACAGCGGCGTCGGCATGAGCGGGCTACATCCTGGCCCCGCCGTGCCCATGAAGGACCACGACGCCATCAAGCTCTTCGTGGGGCAGATCCCGCGGGGCTTGGACGAGCAGGACCTCAAGCCGCTGTTCGAGGAGTTCGGCCGCATCTACGAGCTGACGGTGCTGAAGGACCGGCTCACCGGCCTCCACAAAGGTGCGCGGGGTCAGCCCAGCCCAGCCCAACCCCAGCCCGATTAGAGTGTGGCCCGACCCCAGCCCTGCCCCAGCCCTAGCCCTGCCGAGAGCCAGTCCAACACCAGTCCAACATCAGCCCCACCTCAGCCCAGCCCCCTTCCCAGATCACAGAATTTTCTCTCTGACATCCTCCCTCTGATTATCACTGTGGTCCCCTAACATGTTCTCCACTCTAACCTCCAAATTCCTGGCCTCCACCTCTCACATCCCAGCAGTCCCTGCCTTTCAGTTGGACCTCTCCTCCACCTCTCCCATCAGACCTAAAATTCCGGAATTTGAAAACTTACTCCACCTTCTAGATCTCGAATACCCTCAATTTCCCAAACCCTGAACCCAAACATTCCTGAATCCTCCAACTGGTGGTGCCTCACTCAGGCCTAACCACTCACATGCATATCTTGGACTTGCACCCCTCCTTCTGGCCTCCTAGTCCAGCCATCCCCCTCAAGAGCCTTCTTTTGACTCTCAGACTGCCAACCTAAAGCACTGGAGACCCAAACCCTCCCCTTCTTCAGAACCCAGACCTGTCTAACACAAAATCCAATTCAGTTCCCAGGAGGCTCTCAGTTCCAAATAACCCCTCATGTTCAACAACAGCCCCAATCTTTCCTGCCCTTCACCAGTATCCCAATGCTCTCCACCTCTTCTGATTCCAGGTCAGAACCCTGACCTCAGCTGGGAACTCCTGCCACCCTGTGTCCCTTTCCTCTTGGATTTCCCTCAGCTGAATCCACACTTCTTTCCTTCTCTAATCCCCCAACTTCTGTGCCTCTTCTTTGCTCCTCCCCAATCCTCTTTATGGCCTCCTTCTTTCCCTCCCTCACAGGCTGGTCACAATCCAGACCCATTCTCAGGGTGAGTCAGGCTGAAGAGACAGAAGGAGATCTTCTCCCCGCCCTTTCTAGAGAGACACAGGCACCACGGTTCGGCCACACCCCTTTCTTCCTGTAGAGAGAGGGAGGAGGCTTGTTTACATGCAGAAAAGTCTGTCCAGGCAGGGCTGGAGTAAGAGAGCCAGAGACACATGTCATACATGGGCAGGAGAAGGGGAGATGATTTGAGAAGAAACCCTCTTATATCCTCCCCCCGCACCACCACCATGCTGTGGTTTCACATTTTTGCTGGGAAAGAGTCACCAACTATCCTCCACGATCTTCCTAAGAGAGGAGTGGTGGGCCTTGGGTAACAGCTAAAGGTACATTCCTAAGGACTGAGAGCTGGAATCAGACTGCCACCTCTTCAACTGGGAGGCCTTGTGGGGTTCCTCGGCACACTAATGTAGGCACTTCGAGAAAATGCCAATAGAAGGGCTAGGACCATCCGGCTAGGAGTACAGCTTCCACCCTTTGGGGTGGGGTTGTGTTAATGGGTGTGTGAAAGAACAATACCACACCATCTAGATTCCTTCTAATGCACTCCCACTACCTGCCTGTCTGTCCATCCCTCTATAGCAACTCATTTCCTTATTTTTAGACATTGATTTCAGTATGTAAGTACAAAGCTAATCTTTGTAGGCCATCTGTACAATAAGGGAAGTGTATAGAATACCCTTAAATCTCACTCTTCTCACTATCAAGAGTCTCTGAACTGTTCCCTCATCCTCTCTCTTTTCATTTAGCTCTAATTCTGCCTGTTACTTTCATTCATCTGTCTCTCAAACCATGCTTCTCTGTCTTTTCTTCCCCTCATTCTTCCACCCTCCATCCTGGCTAGTCCACATGGGGCTTCTTTAGGCAGCAACTGGGCCCCTGAGCCTTTCAGACAGGCACCCCTGCCCGATTTGGATGTCGGGTGATATGGGTTGGTGGCAAAAGACACAGCAGGGATGTAAGTGGAATCAGGTGTTTGGTGATTTATTTCCAAACTAAATCAAAACTCTCCAAGGCAAGTGTTGCCTTCCAAGATGATTGTGGAGGGTCTCCAAGTCAACATCTTCCTCATCCTCCCCCCAGCAACAGTGACTCATTTTCCTTTTGATGGCTGGATACCGAGGCAGGCAGCCACTTGTTACCCAAGTGCTTTGAAAACAACCCCAGCTTGGGAGTTAAGACATTCCAAATCCTGCCCTGCCACTGACCCACTCTCTGGGCTTCAGTTTCCCTGTTGATATGGTAAGAGTTTTGCTCAGTTCTCTAAATTCCCTTTACCTCAATGAATGACCGACAATAAACCCATCTGAAGGGGGCAGCACTGTAGAAGAGGCTAGAAAAAAAATGGTTCCATTTGCCTTTCTAATCTGCTGAGGTCTAAGTGGAAATCTGCCCCAAGTTTCTAATGGCTCACCATATCCACTTTCTCCTCCTTCAGTCGTTCTCCCTCCTACACTCAGAAGGCTCCTTTTGAAAACAGACCTTATCTCACAGATCTGCTTAAAACCCTTTAAAGTGGCTCTCCATTGCTCTTAGGAAAAAGTTCAAAATCTGACTGAGGCCCACAAGGCTACATATGACTTGATTCCTGCATACCTCACTAGCCACTCTGCCCCCATGCACCAGCCTCCAGTCACACTAACCTTCTATCCATTTCCCCAACACACCAAATTCTTGATTCAGCCTTCATATATTCTTTTCCCGCTGTGTGAAATAATCACTGTCCCTTTCATCACCTGATTGTTAAGGACTCAGTATTCTTGTTCTTGAGGACTCAATGCCTTCTTTGAGACATTACTCAACCCTTTGGACTCGTTTAGGGGCCCCTCATGATTTGTCTAATCCCCATGAGGGCAGGGAATGTGTCTGTCTTGTTGCCACTCTATCCCCAAGCTCATCAAAAGGCCCCACCATAATAAGTAAGTGTTCAATAAATATTTTCTGAATGAATGAGTGCTCTGTGGCTGTTGGAAAGGAGGAGAGTGCTGCTTCAGTGCTTCCTAGCAGGCTACAGGTCCTGAGGCTGAACAAAGAGAGGGCTGAACTTGACACTTTGGCTCAACCTAGACCTCTTCGCTGCCCCATATCTGCTGGCCCTTTTAGAGGAGCCAGATTTGGGGCACAATAACTCTTTAAGAAGCCCTACCTCAAAGCCCTAGGAGGGTTGACAGATCAAGATCCTTGAACAGGATTAGGGGGTCCCTGGAAACTACCACCTATGGGAAGCCCTTAAACCAATCCCATCTTCTAAGTCTCAAATCAATCCATTCCCCAGCTTCAAACTTAGGGAAGGGAGATATGGAAAAGAGCTGGGAGGTGCTGGGGTTGGCCCCCAATCCTTCTTTTACTCTTTTGCCTCCTCCCATCTGAAACTGAGTTGGGAAGGAATTGAGGCTGATCCTGGGAGACTCCATGAGTCTGAACCCAAAAAGGAAGGGGAAGTCTGGGTTAAAGATGATGATAAAGCTGCTTAGGGAGGTTTAACCCCAACAGGACTTATGACTGGAGTGGGGAGGGGAGATGTGGGATTGTATGCACATGTGACTGGGTGTGGGGGCATATGTTCTCTGGGCAGGATGCCAGGAGCAAATGAAAGTGAGCCTGGGACACTGGTCCCCAGGCACATGAAGCCCCTCTCTCCAGAGGTAGGAGGCAGAGAAAGCTTCTCAGAAAGCAGAGTTCTTGTTTAAAGGAGAGTGGCCTTAAGTTTGTCAACTTAGTGGGGTATTTCAAAGAAGAATAGTTGGGGGTTTCAGGAAACCCCCTGAGCCAGCCTCTTCCTCCTCAGGCTGTGCCTTCCTCACCTACTGCGCCCGGGACTCTGCTCTCAAGGCCCAGAGTGCACTGCACGAGCAGAAGACCCTGCCAGGGGTAAGTTCTCCAGGTTGGGGGGTGGGAATCACCTCAGGCTGGGGACAGTGCCCTGTGTGCATGCCAAAGCAGCGTGTGGCGACTGGGTTGGGACCAAGAACTAGAAGCAGAATCATCTTTCTAGAAGAGGGCTTCCTATACCCTGAACAGCAACAAATTCTTTGTTACATCCAATCTTCTCACTCAAAAAAGGGGCTCAAGATCCTTGAGCCAGGCGCTCCACCCATATTTAGGAGAGGCATCAGTGTTGTGGGCTAAGCTAGAATTTATTCACCTTGGCTAAAATTATGGCTTTGGGTGTCACTTGTCACTGGTGTGAGCAGGTATTCAGATAGATGGGGTAGAGGTTCTGCTGGACTGGTATCCCTTTTTCTCTAGGGTCTTTGCTGGCACTTCTCTCTAGTCCTTTTCCTGTAATGATTTTTTTTTTGGTGCCTTGACTTACTAAGATTGTCTTCCTTCCCTCCACACTGCAAACACTTGGCTAAAGTTAGGGGAGACCTGATTCTACAGGCAGCTAGGCTTGTAGGCACCAATGGTACCTGGTCTGGTCTTGGCCAATGCATAATCACTCAACAAGAGGCAAGTTGGGACCTACTGACCATGTGGTAGAATGAAGGGGTGATCGTTAGTAATTAGCATGGGTTTACCAAGAGCAAGTCATGCTGTACAGCCTTGTTTTCTCTTGTCCAAGAAGTGGTGTGTCTAGAACAGAGCACTGTTTAAATGCCATTAACAGGCCAAACTTGGGACTATGTCCAGTTCTGGGCCTCAGATTTAAGAAAGTCATTTGCCTACAAGAACGAGATGAGGATAAAGTTGGCCAGGCGCGGTGGCTCTTGCCTGTAATCTCAGCACTTTGGGGGGCCAAGGCGGGTGGATCACCAGATCAGGAGATGGAGACCATCCTGGCTAACACAGTGAAACCCTGTCTCTACTAAAAACATACAAAAAAATTAGCCAGATGTGGTGGTAGGCACCTGTAGTCCCAGCTACTCGGGAGGCTGAGGCAGGAGAATGGCGTGAACCCAGGAGGCGGAGCTTGCAGTGAGCCTAGATTGTGCCACTGCACTCCAGCCTGGGCGACAGAGCGAGACTCCATCTCAAAAAAAAAAAAGGAGAGATGAGGATGAAGTAAAGGCACAAGATATATTTGGAATAATAGTTTGGAGGAGTTGGGATGATTTAACTGGAGAAGATAGGGCTTAGAGGGACTTTAAAAAGGAGGCATCATAAGCTAATAATTAAAAATACTGGTTTTTGAGGCTGATTGTGGTGGCTCACACCTGTAATCCTAGCACTTTGGGAGGCCAAGGCGGACAGATCACCTAAGATCAGGAGTTCGAGACCAGCCTGGCCTCCATGGCGAAACCCTGTCTCTACTAAAAATACAAAAACCAGCTGGACATGGCAGATGCCTGTAGTTCCAGCTACTTGGGAGGCTGAGGCAGGAGAATCGCTTGAACATGGGAGGCGGAGGTTGCAGTGAGCCAACATCATGCCACTGCACTCCAGCTTGGGCAACAGAGTGAGACTCAGTCTCAAAAACAAACAAACACACACACACACACAAAACCCACTGGATTTGAATCCCAGCTCTGCCATTTGTCAGTTCTGTGTCTCTGGGCACGTTCCTTGGACTCCTGAGCTTCAGTTTCTTTAGATATGAGGACTGGGTTATACTAACACCTAGCTCACTTGGCTGTAGTGAGGATTACTTGAGGCTTAGCAAGTGCCTGGCACAGAGTAAGATCTCAATAAGTACTACTGTTGGGGTTGGGGTAACTACCTTCAGATTCTAGAAGAGGGGTTTAGTTTTCTATGAGTGGCCCCAGAAGGCAAGATTCGGATCAGTTAATATAAGAAACAGACACTAATTTCAGCTCAGTATAAAGAAGTCACTTCTCTGAATTGGAGCTGCCAAGCAATGGAGCAAGCTTCACCAAGAGCTAATCAAGCTGTTAATGGGGTGACAGCTCCTAGAACCAATCACAGTAACTGAAGCACCTTGAGCCTCACTTTTGGGGACTAAGTGCCAAGTAACACCAACTTGTCACCATCACTGATCCTCTGTACGCAAGCTCCTGAGTCAGAGAGACCTGCGTGTGAACCCAGGTCCCACCACTCACTAGCTTTGTGACTTTGGGCAAGTCTTTACTGCTAAGCCTAAGTTTCCTCATCTGTAAAGTTAAATTCATAGGGTTGTTGTCATGGTTAAATGAGCTAAGTCATTAAGTGAACTAAAGTACTCAATGCTGTTCTTGGCAGAAAATAAGCACTTAATACGAGTTAGCTGGTGGTAGTAGTGATAGTAACAGTAATAGTAACAGCAGCATTAGTAGGAGTAGGAGTAGAACTCATCATTCATCTAACCATGGGAGCAAATGACTTCTGCTGCTAGAACTGAGAGTCAATGAGACAAGCTGTAACATTCCATGTGGGAAACAGCATGGTAAAGGTGCAGACACAGATGGAACAGGTGGGTGTGAAATGCAGCTGGCACTGTGGGGGAGGCCCACATGAGCATGGAGGGAAGCTGGAGGGAAGATCTACAGAGGGCAGCAGTTGAAGATGAAACTTTGAATGCCGGGCTTTGCCCTGAAAGGAAATGGGAGGCCCCCTCCCCCGAAAAATTAAGATAAACTTTGGGAGGGAAAACATCTCTCTTCTACAAGACACAGGGCTCTGCTAGATAAGGGGCACCTGGAGAGCTCCATGAGGCCAAGGGTACCTGAGATAAGGGCTATGACGCCCTTAGAGTACTGCGAGGATTTCTGGAGGAGAAAAGCAAATAATAGTAATGAGCATTTGTTGATACTAGTCTTCCTACCACTTTACACAGTATAAGTCATTTAATCCTCCATAAAGAAGGTTGTTTGTTTGTATTTGAGACAGAGTCTCGTGATGTTGCCCAGGCTGGAGTGCAGTGCCGTGACCTTGACTCACTGCAACCTCCACCTCCCGGGTTTAAGCAATTCTCCTGCCTCAGCCTCCTGAGTAGCTGGGATTACAGGTGTACACCACCGTGCCCAACTAATTTTTGTAATTTTAGTAGAGATGAGGTTTCACCATGTTGGCCAGGCTGGTCTTGAACTTCTGGCCTCAAGTGATCCACCCACCTTGGCTTCCGAAAGTGCTGGGATTACAGGCATGAGCCACTGTGCCAGGCCTAAATAAAGTATTGTTATTGGCATTCCCATTTTACAGGTGAGAAAACTAAGTCATAAGAATCAAGTGACTTGCCCAAGGTCATATAGTTAATAATGGGAGTATCTGGACTTTGGGCCCAGTTAATCTGGCCCTAGAACTCATTCACTTAACCACTGTACTGTGACCTGAGACAACTAGGTAGCAGACAGAGGTCTTAGGTTCTGGAGAGAATGGTGACTGGGGACATCTTCCCCCTCTCACTGTTCCATCTGCAGGTCTCCAACATGGCCTAGCTTCCTCTGATACTGTCAGCATTGGCTTTATTCGCCCTCTCCAGCTTAACAAAGTGAAAATTAATATTTAATTATTCTCCTAAATGAAAATCAATGGCTGTGTTGGCCAGCCCCAGCAATGCCTGTGTCATCAATCTTTCCTCTGGGCCTGCCAGGGACAGCAGCAACTTTAGTCACCTGGCCTTAGGCCCACCAGCATGGAGGGAGGAGTGCCCAGCTCTCTGCTGCCACTGGGTCCTGAGCACAGCTGCCACCTGCTGGAGAAGCAGGGACAAGACTTTAATCTGAATTCCTGCTGGCATCAGGCAGGACTGTCGCCATGGGACCAGAAAAGGCTGGGTCAGCCCCCAGAGAGAAAAGTCTGAAACCCCAGGGGAAATTTCATAGTTTGTTTGTTTGGTTTTTTTGGGGGGGCGGGTTTGAGACACAGTCTCATTCTGTCACCCAGGCTGCAGTGCAGTAGCGCCATCTCAGCTCACTGCAACCTCCTCCTCCAGGGTTCAAGTGATTCTCCTGCCTCAGCCTCCCAAGTAGCTGGGATTACAGGCACCCGCCACCACGCCTGGCTAATTTTTTTTTTTTTGTATTTTTAGTACAGACAGGGTTTCACCATGTTGGTCAGGCTGGTTTTGAACTCCTGACCTCAAGTGATCTGCCCGCCTCAGCCTCTCAAAGTGTTAGGATTACGTGAGCCACCACTCCCAGCCAAGAATGTCATGGATTCTGATGGACTGACACCTTCTCTTGCTTGGCTCCTCTCCATTTGTCCCCTGACACGTTCTGTCCCTGTGAAAGCTTGCCTCACTATTTGAGAACTCCTTCAAACCTCGGTTGATCTGTCCCACCTGGCTCCCACCTCCTGCAGCCTCTTCCTGATGAAGCCAGAATTCCTTCTTTTAGCCTCACTTTATGCTCCAGAATCCACCTGAAGAGGGTAAGGCCTAGCCTCAGCCCCATTTCTGGGATGTAGAAGCTGCCTCCCTATTTGTTTATCTCCCTGTTCCTGACTTCCCTTCCTTTGGGAAGGCATCCCTTCAAACACTGTGAAGGAGGCAGATGTTACTGAGTAGGGAAGTGCATTTGGTTTTGCAAGTTGTGCCCTGCACAAAACAGCTTGGGTGCAGAGGGCAGATGGGGGCAAAAATCCAGCCATGCTCTATTGACCAAGTCATGCTCATTATTTCAAGGCTTTGTCAGCCCAGAGGAAAGAGCACATTTTTTTTCTCATTCATCTCAGGGCTGGGGAGTGCCTTTTTATAATTTACAGAAAGGCACTGCGTGTGCTAGCAACCACTTCAAGAATGAGTCTGAGTCTTTGCCCTCAAGATGCTTCTCAAAAATGAGCCTCATTGCATCTCACTCAGGCATACATCTGGGCAAGTAAAAGAGAGACTTTTACTTGGGGAGGGAGTCCCAGAGTCAAACCATAAAGGAAAAGGCCGGGTGCGATGGTTCACACCTGTAATCCCAGCACTTTGGGAGGCCGAGGTGGACAGATCACTTGAGGTCAGGAGTTTTGAGACCAGCCTGGCCACCATGGTGAAACCCCGTCTCAAC